TCCTGAGTAGCTAGGATTACAGGCGTGAGCCACCGGCGCCGGCTTACAAGCACTTATTGCTTTAATGTTAAGGAAACAGAAACTCACTAGATGGAACAGGCTAGTGGCTGAGTAAGGAGAACGGCATCTGGAGGCACCCTCGCTGTTCCTTTGCTGGCTCTGAGTGCCGGGCTGTGCTGCAAGGCTGTTACCTTGTCATTGCTGATCTCCAGGGGCTCCCGCGGACACGGACCCGCACTGCTGAGGTAGTCTTGACATGTTTTCTTAACCAGGTTATGCAACTCTTCAAATTCCTTATAGATGGCTGGGAAAAAAGGCTTTTCTAGATGACTTTTCTCAACCTTCATGAAGACAAAGATGACAAGTAGAGTTTTACACCTGAGGCAATGACATGGAAATGCCTGAGATCAGAACTTAAACTCAGTATCTCACATTTTTGCTCAGTGGCTTGCCACTATACCACCTGAGCCATGCTTTTAACCCCAACAAGACTAGAATGTCAAGACAGTAGGATGGATGAGGAAGTGGCCCTGTGGCTCAAGTGGTAGAGTGCTGGCCTTGAGCTGAAGGGCTGAGAGACAGCGCCCAAGCGACAAAAAAAAAAAAAAAAAAGGATGGCTGGATCCCTCAACCTTTGGAGCTAGTGGGTGACAGGAGCTGCCCAGTGCATTCCTGCTGCATGCCAGCACCACACCCAGTGCGTACCTACTGTGTGCCAGCACCACATCCAGCTCTGGGAGGCAGGGTGGCCTGAGAAGAGGACCAGAAACAAACCCTTGATGTGGCAGCCAAAGAGCTCAGAGGAGGGAGCAGGCCCAGGAGTAGGGAGGGGAGGCAAAAAGGCTGAGGATGGGCTTTGGGCTTGGATATGTCCTGAGGGGCTGACAGGCCATGGGCTCAGTAGGGAGCACACAGCTGCTCTGCTGGGGAAGGGAAGTGATCCCACATGGCCAGGCTCTCTCTAAAGGAAACAGGAAGGACGCCTTTCTAAGTAACAAGTCACCCCCCTTGTTGGTGAGCACGTTGAAGACTCACCTTCATCAGAAGAAATTCATACACAGTTACGACTTGAGCCAGCCGAGGCAGCACCAATTCCACCAGATCCTCACGGCCACACTGTTGGAGAGCCTACCAAGAGAAGCACTTGCTGGGAACCTCCCAACGGCAAGGGCCAGTGCGACTCTGAGCAGAAGACACAGGACGTCCCCGCAAGCCCGACACTCAACCACGGACATTCTGCCTTATTAAGTAGTTCATGGCTCCATCCATTAACAAAGAACTATGGGCCAGTGCTGGTGACTTGGTCCTGTAATCCTAGCTACCCAGGAGGCTGAGATCTGAGGCTAAACCATCTGAGGAAGGTCTCAGTTGCACAAGGCTGAGTAACCCTCCCTGCTCGATAAAACTCCCTTTATCTGAGCTGGGAGCCTCACCCCCAGGCAGATTCTCCTTTCCTAATAAAGCACTCTGCTCTACTCTTATTCATCATGGCTCCTCCAGATAGAACCCAAGAGCTGAGGAACATGGGAAATGCCCCACTGAGAAGTGATTCATTATAAACAGGTCAGCCTGTGACTGTCACTGGAATTTATCCAATGCCATCTTGAGAGCTTTTTAATTCATCAGGCTATTTTATTTTAAAGAGAGAGAGAGAGAGAAGGTCTCATAATGTAATTGGTCTGGTCTTGACTCAGTCCTCCTGAGGGCTGTGTTAACTGGCATGAGCCACCATGCCAGGCTGGGATGTTTTACTTCTAAGTTCAAAAATCGAATAGTGAATTGCCATATGCCATGGTAGAGAAACAGATCTGGCCCATGGGTGTGCGAGTGATGTACCTCCTCCAGCTGGGCGCGCAGCCTGGCAGCCACCGCAGGGCGTTGGCACAGCACGGCGGCTCTTCCCCGCTGGCGGATGGCTCTACTGCGCTCTGTCAGGGTCTCTGAGCCTCCATGGCTCCGTCCTTGGTCCTCTGATCCCAAGAGAGCTGACTGACTCCCATTTTCTGGCTCAGGCACTCTTGTGTCTTCCACTTCCACAGACTGACCATTCTAGACAGTGTGAAACCCAAAAAGGAAAAAAAAAGCTATAAAAATGCTTCACACACCATCATGTAAACTCAAAAGCACAAAACTGTCAAGTCTCAGACAAGGAACTAGCTACACTATTTCTTCCTTAATGAACTCAACTACAGTCAATACATCTTTTTTTCTTTTTTTATTAAGTTTTTTAAATTGTGAAAATACCATACAGAGGGGTTACAATTACACCCTTTGTTTCCACTTACCATCCCTGCCCTCCCATCTCCCCCCCCCAAAGCTGTAAAGTTTGTTTTTCGACATAATGTCTTGTACATCTCATTGTTGCAATGGATCCACCTATATCCCTATTTAAACAACTTGTTTTTTCCCTTCCCCTCCCCAAATTATACCAACATCAAATACAGTGAAAACGGGTTATACTGTGGGGGAGGGACATACAAAGCAACAACAAAAAAATCATCTTATAAATATGTTAGAAACAATAGCAAAAAAGAAAAACCATTTGAGTCCTTATCTTGGGTTCATTACACCTAACATCAACTTATCTGACCATTTCTGCTTGTTTCAGACCTGTCAATACATCTTTCTCAACACCATATAAGAAGATGAATCTGGGCTAACAAACCCTGGGGAGTAAGCTGGGCACAGGTGGCTCATGCCTGTCATTCTAGCTACACAGGAGGCTGAAATCTGAGGATCGCAGTTCAAAGCCAACCCAGGCAGGAACGTCTGAGAGACTCTTATCTCCAGTGAACTACAGAGCAAGTGGCTCTGGGGCTCAAGTGGTATAGTGCTCACCTTGAGCGGTAAAGCTCAGGGACAGCGCCCAGGCCCAGAGTTCAAGCCCCCCAAAAAAACAAAAACCCAGGTGAGGGCTGGGAATGTGGCTCAGTGGTAGAGTGTTTGCCTAGCATGCATGAAGCCCTGGGTTTGATTCCTCAGCACCACATAAGCAGAAAAAGCCAGAAGTGGCACTGTGGCTCAAGTGGTAGAGCACTAGCCTTGAGCTGAAGAGCTGAGGGACAGCGCCTAGGCCCAGAGTTCAGGCCCCACGACCAACAAAAACAAAAAAAGCTGATGGTAAATTATGTCACTACCAAAACCAGAAAGTTTTATGTTAGCATAGTGTGCAAGAGAGACTAAATGATACTTAGAAGAAGAAATGTAAAACATTCTAATACTGCCATAACCTTAATCATGTTAACTGGAACCAAGGTACTTTTCTTGCCATTTCTGTCCTCTTTTTGAATGCCAACTGGTGTTTTCAGGAAAATAATCCTATGTAGTCCATAACCAGATCTCGCTTCCCACAGGGTGAAGAGACCATAGGTCTGGGCCCTGGAAAGGCCAAGCTGAACGCTAGTTCCTGCTCACAGATGGAGACTTGGGCAAGCCGCCCCCCTCCCCAGATGACCAGCCACCCTCCCCATGGCTCCTCCTACCTCTAACCTCCCACCTCCGAGCACTCCCACCTCTCCAAGTTTGTGAAGATGAGATGTGATTTCCAGGGAAAGCGCAGAGGTGAAGGTATTGATAGCCAGGATCACTCTTACACGGGAGCTTCTGAAGAGGACACTATGAGCATAAATCTGAGGGGGGGCACAGAAGGGCAGCAGAACGAGGCTGAGGAGAAAACGAGGCTGGGCAGGCTGGACAGTGTTCCTTACACACTGAGCCACGCACCATCTCAACAGGGACAGAAGACCAGTCCTGAGGATGTCAATGCCCGACTCCAGTTCATGATGGATGGCTAATGTACACTAGGGAGTCTACCTGAATCCTGGCAAATAATCCATTACAGTTTTATAATGTATAACTTAAGAAAATAAAATTCAGGGGCTGGGAAGGTGGCTCAGTGGTAGAGCGCTTGCCTAGCATGCATGAGGCCCTGGATTTGATTCCTTAGCACCACATAGGTAGAAATAGCCAGAAGTGGCGCTGTGGCTCAAGAGGCAGAGTGCTAGTCTTGACCTGAAGAGCTGAGGGACAGCGCCCAGAGTTCAGGCCCCATGACTGACAAAAAAAAAAGGAAGAAAAAACTCAAAGGCTTATGAGGAAATATTCTAAATAACTTGTATAAAACAATAATGACCAATATCCTCCCAAAATAACAAAACTAAACAAAATCCCTGTGCTCAGATCTCATCATGGCTAGATGGAGACTGCTTGCTGCAGAAGTCTCTGCAGAGCTGCGGTGATGAAGCCTTCCTCCTCTTTTTTTAAAAAAATTAATTTTATTGTAAAGATGCTATACAGGGGCTGGGGGTGGCTCACTGGTAGAGCGCTTGCCTTGCATGCATGAGGCCCTGGGTTCCATTCCTCAGCACCACATAAGCAGAAAAAGCCGGAAGTGACGCTATGGCTCAAGTGGTAGAGCGCTCGCCTTGAGCTGAAGAGCTGAGACACAGCGCCCAGGCCCAGAGTTCAGGCCCCACGACCAACAACATCAACAAAAGATGCTATACAGAGGGGATACAGTTACATGAGTAAGGTAATGAATAAATTTCTTGTCCAGCATTGGTACCCCCTCCTTTGTTGCTCTCCCACTATCCCTTTCTTCCCCCCCTTCTCTCACTCCCCCCACTTCCTCACTGAGACCAGCACATCCCTCAGGTTAGTTCAACAGCAGGACAGTGAACAGCAATATGGCCTTTTTTTGTTGTGTGTGTATGACCATTGTTAAATAAAGGAGGGTCTGGTCTAAGCCACAACTGTTTTGTGAGAGCCCTGAAGGACCTTTCAGTAAACATTCCTCTTTCACAGAGCAGAAGCTGAGACCCGGAGGGGCTGAGGATTGGGCTCAGTGAGGGGATTGCTGCATAGACCCAACACCAGTCACTGAGAAAAGCCACGAGGTGGCAAGGTCATGTGATCCATGCTACACCCAGCCCAAGGCTTTCTCTAAAATTGGCAAAACCTGGTGGCTCCAAACTTACTTTGTAAAAAAAAAATTTTTGTGCAGGTCCTGGGCTTGAACTCAAGGCCTGGATGCTGTCCCTGAGCTGCTTTTGCGCAAGGCTAGCACTCAAACACTTGAGCCACAGCACCACTTCTGTCTTTTTCTGAGTAGTTTATTGGTGATAAGAGTGCCACGGACTTTCCCACCTGGGCTGGCTTTGAAGCATGATCCTTAGATCTAGGATTACTGGTGTGAGCCACTGGCTCTGGCACCCAACTCAAGCTTCCTGTCTGGTAAAGGAGCCAATCTACTAAAGGCTATGACAACAGCACTGAAGTGAAAAAGTGCACTCCTGGCCCAGGGCCACAGCCCCAGAGGTGCCCGAGAGCCGGAGGAACACAGTGGTTGGTTTGTTTTTTTCTTTTTTGGGGGAGGGGTCCGGTCATGGGGCCTGAACTCTGGGCCTGGGCGCTGTCCCTCAGCTCTTCAGCTCAAGGCTAGCGCTCTACCACTTGAGCCACAGCACCACT